CTCTTCTTCTTCGTCGTCTTCTGATTTTTCTTTTTCTTTTTCCTCTTTTTCTTTTTCCTCTTTTTCTTCTTCTTCTTATCCTTATTCGTATACGTATTCTTATTATTATTTTTATATAATACTTTCTCGTCTCACATCGACACACAAGTTTTCCTTTTCGAATCTTTTCACTTTGCCAAAGTTCCTTTTCTCTTTTTTCTTTCTTGTATTTTTTTTTCTTTTTTTTTTTGTTGTCTTTTCTTGTTTCTTCTCTTATTCCTTTTCTTCTTCTTATTCTTATTCTTTTTCTTTGTTCCACGAGTCGTTGTTATCTCGTAATGTTTCGAAGGAAGACACGTTCCGCGCGAATATACGATGAGCGAAACACATACCAAAGAGCAAAAGAGATGACGAATAAGTGGAGAAGGTTTGCGGTGGATCCGGCTATGCGCGACGATGAGGTAATCTTTGCCGCATGAGTCGGAGTTATCTAGTCAGTTCGGACGAACGAACGAACGAACGAATGAACAAACGAACGAACGAACGTAGGAAAGCTAGGTTCCCGCTGATATTTCATTTGGTAAATATTCCTAAAGAAAATCAATTATTCTTTTAAAGGAGAAAATGTGAATGACGGAAGGACGTTCGATCGAAACGAGATAAGATTTTGTTAACAATGAAATATCTCGAGCAATTTTTATCTTCAAAAAGAACAAAAAAAAAAAAAAGGAAAGGAAAGAAGAAGAACAAAAGAGAGAGAGAGAGAGAGAGAGAGAGAGGGAGGGAGGGAGAGATGAAAATGATGGAAAAGGAAAGTCTATTCGTTAGGGTATGTAAGTACATAGTACGTAGATTCAACGATTCCCTAGAATCGAATAAAAAGCTGAAAGATTCGACGATGCAAAGTGGAAAAAACGTAGAAAGAAAAGAAGAGAAGTGGAGAAGACTCGAGTTGGATCCGGCTATGCGCGATGATGAGGTAATGTTTGCTACGAGAGTCGAAGTCTATCTAACCAGGTCCGTACCCGATGGAGTTAGAGTCGGGTGACTATACATATTACTTTACGATATAATTCTAATCTTTCGAACTTATAGTCTTTCTCGATTTTCTTCACTTTTTTATTACTTTTTCTCTCTCTCTCATTCTCTCTCTCTCTCTTTTCTTTTTCCTTCTTTTTTTTTTGTTTTTTTCGTTCGTCGTATTCGGATATAACGGTAAGCAAAAAAAAAAAAAGCGAAACAAAGATTATCTTTAAAATTTTTTCGAAAGAACGTCAAGAATTTCAAGGACGCAACGTCATTGTCAAAAAATTTAAATAATAAATTTGAAAAATTATTCCGATGTTACGTTAAAATTGATTTTCTCATTGATTTTTATAAAAGATAATCAAAGCCATAGAATGTTTCTTTTCTTTTTTCTTTTTTTTCTTTTCTTTTTTCTTTTTTTTTTTTTTTTTATATAATAATCTCCGTCGTAAAACGACACAATGGTAACTCGCCACGAGGAGTAGAAGCTTCGACGACGATGATCGTCGTGACGGCATGACGTCAACCGGCCGTGTTATTTTCGAAAGGGGACTCGACGATAGCGTCGTGCAGTGGCGAGATCGCCAAGCTCGAAAAACAGTCGGCTTTGCTGCGACGAACGTAGATATACGAGGCGTCAGCGCATTTAATAAAATAATTATATTCAAAATTCAAAAAGAAATCTTTCTAAAGTAACCATTCGAGATTTATTATCGATCGATGCAAATTATATTATCGATAATTTCTCATTTTTTCGTAATGATATCATTAATAACATCAGCCAATAAAAATTTTTGAAAAATCTTACATTTCATTTTTATTTATCTATTTCTTTATTTATTCATTCAATTTCATCTCCAATTCATTGCTAGTAAAAACTAGAGATAGTAATAGTAATAGGGATAATAATAAAGTATAGGGATAATAATAATAATAACAATAATAATAATAATAATAATAATAATAATAATAATAATGTGTTCTATACAATACACAATTTATTTGAGATCGGATTAGCTACGTCAATGAAACCAAAAAAAAAAATATATATATTTTTTTTTGGCTTATATATATATATATATATACACATTCAATCAAGATTAGTCATATCAAGACTTCTTGTCATAGTATTAAATATCTGATAAAAAGATATATGTATCTGGAAATGTCATCGTTCAAGTAGATTCTTTGATAAATTTGTTTCCAATTTGTTCGTATCGATCGAATTTAAATCCGAGTTCAGGATGTAATTTTTCTTAGAGAAGAGCCATCGCGATCCTGTACGTTGAGCATACGAACGACTTGAGCAGTGTAAAGTCCGCGGCAGATTAGCGACGTGCTATCTAACAACGAGCGTCGGATAAGATTGCCAGGGCGTTCGTTCGTAAGTACGAACTGACTTCAAGGACTTGCGACGACACGCGCGGCCGAGCGCGAGCACAGTGTCTCTCTTCTGTCTCTTCCTCCCCCCTATCTCTTTCTCTCTCTCTCTCTCTCTCTCTCTCTCTCTCTCTCTCTCTCTCTCTCTCTCTCTTTCTCTTTTTCTCACTGTCGGAGTATGTTCTTTGCGAAGCATGATGCGCGATGATTCTCGAGATCATCTTGGAATCTAGTTTACCAATCTTACGATATTGCTCTATGATTTATAAATGGAAGAAAAAGAAATAGAACAAGAAGATGCAGAGAAAAACAATCCAATTTATAATATATAATATTTTTGTGTAATCGTGTAGTTGCAATTTTTTCTCCATTAATCTATAAATACGAATATATATATAACATATATATATATTTTTTTTTCTCACAAATAATAATAATAATAATAATAGTAATAATAATAATAATAATAATAATAATAATAATAATAATAATAATAATAATAATAATAATAATAATAATAATAATAACTATTGTGAGTGAATTATTAAAAATAGTTAATCGTTAGAATAAATTGGTGAAAATTATATACACAAGCATGTAGATATATTTATTGTATATATTCTATATATTAATAATGAGTTAAGTTTATTTTTAATAAAAGAAAAATAAAAAAAATAAAAAAAACAGTTTCGTAAGAATTCCTAATAGAATAACTAATAGAATATTGGAGATAACTTGGAATAAATGAAGATAGGAATAGTTTACTCTAATGAACAGAAAAACTAAACAAAACACATGAGTACACGTACAAGTTTTGCCCACATTTTCCAAACTTTTATCTCTTATACAGATATATAATAATACAAGATTAATATATGATTAACGTATATCAAAATCTTAATCTTAAAATAATAAAATTATAACTATAGTAAATTCCTAGGATGTCGTGAACAAAAATTTGGGGGTGGATCTACACACGCGTAGTGCATCCTGACAACGTATTTTATATATATATAAAGGTGGTATATTTTATATATATATATATATATATATATATATATACATATATACATATATATATATATGAAGGTGAGTGTGTGCTTATGTACCAACTCGTCGGATAAATACTCTACCCTATATATCGCGTGGCTAGAAGGTTCCTACGAGCCGCTCGGTCCCACATTAGGGGATGAATAAAGGAAGCTCTCCGAAAAGGAGGGTTCGCTCCCCTATATCTTCAGTGATTCTCAACTAGTTCCGACTTGGTGGAATCACGAAGGCCGCTGTTCTATCATTTAATTTTGTAGGAAGAGTTGATAACCACTGGGAAGTAATCTACAAGGGCGCGCGGCATCTGCGATGCCCTAAACGAAGGGTCCGGCCCTATCCTCCGAGGCCGAACTCGTAGAAGGGAGAGAAAACGAGAGAGAGAAAAAGAGAGATAGAGATAGAGATAGAGATAGAGATAGAGAGAGATGGACAGAGGAAGAGATGCCGAACGCATCAAGGGTAGAATGTAAAAGAAAAAGATATATATATATATATATATATATATAAGACCAGAGCGCGTGCGGATGAGAAATAAAGAGAAAGAGAGTGAGATCGTGAAATAAAGAGACAGAAAAGAAAGATTCGATATCTCAACTGTGTCTCGAGGGAGTTCGATGCCTTTAATTGGCTCGAATGTAGAAAAAGAAAAAGAGAAAATTAAACGGAAGCATCTTAATCCGTTCGTAGAAGGAAACAGTTTTAAGATAAAAAGGTGCTTTACGTTGAAAGGTGAGAGAAAGAAAGAGAGAGAGAGAAAGAGAGAGAGAGAGAGAGAGAGAGAGAGAGAGAAAGAGAGAGAGAGAGAGAGAGAGAAAGAGAGAGAGAGAGAGAGAGAGAAAGAGAGAGAGAGACTCTTTAAAGATCCATAAGAATGGGACGATTGGAAAGGTCGTAGTTGCTCGTCTCATGATGACGTATGTACGCACGTGGACGCTCGATGCACGTGGGTGGCTCTCCAGTTTTGTGGATGAAGGGAGAGAGAAAGAAAAAAAAGAGAGAGAGAGAGAGAGAGAGAGAGAGAGAGAGAAAGAGATAGAGAGAGAAATGAAAAAGGGGGACAAGGTGGGGTAACTAAAAAATGGAAGGGAAAAGGGGCCATATGGCCAGGAGAGAGAGAAAAAAAGAAAGAAAGAAAGAGAGGAGAGAGAAAGAGAGGGAGGGAGCGAGCCGGTGTGGGAGCGCGCGTCCCTTTCTCATACATTTTTGTCGCCCTCGGCCTTTTTTTCTTTTCTTTCTTTTTTCTATTTTCTTTTTCTTTTTTTTTTTAACACAGCATCTTCCTGCTTACGCGCGCGCAACCGTACGTATATAATACGCGGCCTATCGTATATCCTTTTCCTTTTTCTTTATACGCACACAATGATCCTCGTGCTAGTTGTAAATTACACGAGGATATCTATTAGCAGACGAACGAACGACGCTATTCGTCGGCTCGAAATTGAATCGAAAACCACAGATAGGAAATTTCTTTTCCTGTATATATTCACCTTCCCCCTCATTCCTCTTTCTCCTCTTTCTCCTCTCATACTCGTTTCGTTTCGAGAGATTTCAATTCGTCGATACGGGGTGGTACGTTTTTATGAGGTGAATCGATCGACCAAGTCGATAAAGCCGATTGTGCAATTATCGAGAAGGTTCTACGAATAGAGAGAACGAGACGAGTTTAATTGTGGTAGTAAGGTAGTAAGCTTTTCTAGTCGTCTAGATCAGAATCCATGGTTACGCTGAGGGATGAAAGAGCAGCAAAGCTGTTTGCTTGCTTACGCGAGAAACCTGTTCGCGAGTGGGCGCAAATTTACGAGGAGACCTACAAGAGATATGCCAAAGGGATGATGATGATGATGATGATGATGCTGGTCGTTCGCTTATGTTGGTCGCAGGTGTTCAACGAGAAATACGACAAGAAAAAGGTCAGACCCCTCAGACCAAACGATTAGTGCTTTTCTCGTTTAGTCGCTTGTATATGAAGATCATCCTATTTTTGTGTTTTTCCCTTACCTTTTTTACATTATATTTTCAAAGAAACGTAAACGATATCTCATTAATATAATAATGACGGAGGAATAATGCTAATTACGACGAATCGATTCAAACGATCAATATTGTTCACGTACAATTAGTACTCAAGAGATATATCATAATTGTTGAAATTCAATAAGGCTCGGATTATTTTCTCTTTCGTCGAATAATTTTATTAAATTTCGAATACCGTGATCGAACGTCAATTATTCCCACTTAACGTAACAACGCAACAACACTGGGATCTTTATCAACGTTGATAAGTTTATCTTTTATTTCATTTTTATTGCCGTCTATCTTATTCGTAAAAGAATTTATAGTATTACATTACAGAAAGGTAACCGTTCTTATTTTTTTACAAGGATAACGAAAACGGTCGAAATCCTCGATTGATCCGATTATAAAAAAAAAAAAAAAGAAAAAAAAAAAAGAGAAAAGAAAAAAACGATCAATAATAGAGTAGACATCAGACGGTAAAACTGTAAATTTGACAGGTAAAAAGGTCGAAAACGTCCGGATGATCTTTTTAAAAAGTATAAGAAAATATCGACGTGAAGTTTTAAAATAATGTACAGAGTTTCGAACGAAGAGAGAAGGGTTTCTGTTCCATTCACGAAAAGTTGGGAAAATCTTTGGAACAGTTTATCTTCGTTTTATTTTTTTTCCTTTTTATCCTTTATTTCCCTACTATGTTCGTAGGTCCTAAATATGGTATATAGGTATACCTGGAGTCCAGGTAGAAGAAATAAGAAATACCAATCGTCCCTAGTCCGTGCTTTGCCACGAAAAGCCTCGAACGAAAAGCGACGAGGCTTGACGAGGGTCGGACGGAGGGCCAACCCAAGGGGAACTTTACCGAACGTTTCGTTTCGACCTGAGCACGTTTGCTATAACGCTGCTGTTATAGCAGGAACGTTCGAGCACAAGGAAGCAAGCAAGCAGGCAAGCAAGCAAGCAACCAGGCAAGCAAGCAGGCAAGCAAGCAGGCAAGCAAGCAGGCAAGCAAACCATAGTGGCACGCTACGCAGCAGCAGCGGTTCTCACGCTCGAATCGAACGTTTTTGCTGTCAACGTGACGACAACAACTACAAAACGCTAAGGATCTAATACAGCGGCTATGCCGCAGTCTGGAGCAAAAGTCTCGGAAACTTAACGTTTTCCACTTTCTTGTCTCACTTGGAAAATCTAACGGAGGATACAAAATAGAAATTGCAACTACTTTGGTAGTAACTAATAAGGTACATTAAAGCCGCTCGAGGAGAAAGTCGAGTCGCGATGGTAGGAGATCGCGATTACGATCTAGACGAGTGGCAGGCAAGCAAAACGGACATGTTTTCTTTCGTCCCTACTTTCTGTGTGCTACGCGGTGTAAGTAGTAGTAATATAATAAATAATAGATCGAGAGAACTTACGGATCAAATTTTGAAAGATTTGTTAAATAAATGAAATCTCTTATATGTGAAAGAAACTTTCTCTTTGTGATATAATGTTTATTGTCTTATAGATAGGTTATCAGTTTCTCTCTCTCTCTCTCTCTCTCTCTTTCTTTAACGATTTTCGGAAGAAGTCTTAAAGAAGGAAATGCTGACCATCACCGGGTCCATTCGCATATTCAAAGCAATAGAGAGGGTCAGCAGCATCGAGTACGTTTCTTCTGTGTACGTGTCGGTAAAGCTCTGAGTCGTATTGTTGGCTTCGGAGTAGAGCAACCCGTATGTACCCTCGGTCAGAAAAAAAAGAGGAAGAAAGAAAGAAAGAGAGAAGAGAGAGAAGAGAGAGAGAGAGAGAGAGAGAGAGAGAGAGAATGAAAGAAAGACAGAGCGAGAGACGAGGGTTGGAACCTTTTATACGAAGGGTCGGCTGTCGGTCCCTGCTTCTTTTGTCCGGATCGTCGAAGCGACAGCAGAGAAATCCCCCTTCGACGGGTGCAGTCGTTTCTCTGCCTGTCTGCTTGGCATGGCCTGGCCTGGCCTGGCCTGGCCTGGCTTGGCTTGGCTTGGCTTGGCTTGGCATGGCATGGCATGGCTTGGCTTGGTCTGGCTTGGATTGGCTTGGCCTGAGTCTGGCCTGCTTGCTTACTTGCTTGCTTGCTTACCTGTTTGCTCGTTTCATTCTCTCGATCGTACTTACGTCCAAATAGTTCTAACATACGAAGACATGTACGGAACTTCGCAAATGGATCTTGGATCCTGTATTCCCTGGCCATTTGACAAATCGAATCGATTTGTCGTCGATCGAAGGAATACAATAAAAGACAAAAAGGTGGATAAGTTTCTTCGATACGAAATAAACGAAAGAAAAAACGAAGAAAGGAGCGAGCAAACGAATGAGCAACCAACCAACGAGCATCCACAGTCGGTTTGCCGTTGAACGGCCTAGAGCTTGTTGCCTGGCCTAGCCAACAGGCTGGCTTGGGTGTTGGTGAAAGGTGTGGCCGCCTTGGATACACGAGAAAACGAGAATGCAATATTCTCTCTCTCTCTCTCTCTCTCTCTCTCTCTCTCTCTCTCTCTCTCTCTCTCTCTCTCTCTCTCTCTCTCTCTCTCTCTTTCTTTCTCTTTCTCTCTCTTTCTTTCTCATACACATATTGCTCATATGTATATAATATATACAGATACATTCAAAGTGATACACACCTACATACGTATCAGCATGAACATGTACGATATATTCGCAAGGAACGTAGCAGAGAGTTCGCCTCTCGAGCGTTCTCCATAATTGTTCTCATCCTGGTGCTTCGTTGTTGCCGAAGGTGATAGGCTCGTATGTACACGTATGTATATGCGTATGCGTGTATACGTTAAAGAGAAAGAGAAAAAAGAAAAAGAGGGAGGTGGAGAGGCATAGGAAAGAGAAGGCAACGATCGAAACGAACGACTCGTATACAGGTGGTCGGAGCGAAACGATCGAAGAGTACCGCTTAATGGGATTCAACGACCTCTCCTGCCCGTGTCGAACGCTGGACTGTCGTCCTGTTGGTCCTCGCGGGATCCTACTTGTTCTCTCTCTCTCTCTGTCTCTCTCTTTCTCTTCTACTTCTTCTTCCTTCTCCTTCTTTCTCGTCTTAACCGAACATAGGACTTTTCCAACTTGACGTTCCGCGATGCGATTCGCGCTGCATTAACATCTTGCTCGCGCGAGCACAAACACGATATAAGATAGAGAAAGAGAGGAGGAAAGAGGAAGAAAGAAAAGTTAAGAGGAGGGAAGGACGAACAGCAATGGGAAACGTTGCTACTCCGTAGCGGTACTGTCCTTGCTCGATCGCCTCAAGCGATGCTTAGTTCGCGGTAATAAGCGTTCCCGTGTCCTGAGTTATCCAGCTATTTCTATTCTTTTTCGTTGTAATATATATATATATATATTTAACCTTATATCTATGTATAGGAAAGTACCAAAACGGTAATACTTGGTAAACTTTGATCAAAATAATCTTTTCGATGCAATGTATTTTTTCCTGAACAAAATTCGAAATAGGTTTAGAATATCGTCGATTTTTTTTTTATATACAAAAATGCAAGTACAAATTCAAAATATAAAAGACGAAATAACGATGAAAAAAAAAAAATAATAATAATAATAATAATAAAATTAATGTCTATTAGCGGTGCATCCAAAATGAAAAGAAAATACTTCAAAAGTTCAGTTAGATGCATCGAAAGTAACAAAAATGTTTTTATTAATACACAATTTTAATACACAAAAATTTAAATGCAAAATAAAAAATATTAAAAATAATCGAAAGGTTATCTCGTATACGTAGCAAATAGAAATGTTTTCGACAATTTCTTGAACAAATTTTTTATTTTAAACTGATCGTAATATTTTCAGATTGAACGAAATTTTATTGAAAATTATATCAGAATTTTGTTCCAATTTTTTAAATCCTTTTTTGTCTATAAATAAAATTATTCAAATATATATATATATATATATATATATATGAATCTGCTAATCTGGTGATACCATTACGAAAATACCACCATAACCAAGTATATACTAATATAGGTCTCTCTACACTTATACACATACTTGGGTTGTCTCGTACGAGCTAAGAATATCGACGAACGACGTCGCGTGCGCGAGGACGTCGATAAGACAACGTTTATGTTCGTCGTAAATCGGATTCCTACCTTCGACGAAGGGTTAACCGCGACGATGTTAGAAACGAGTTACGACAAAGGTGGCGTCGACAGGTACAGCCACCTGATCGTACGAAAAGGAATAAAGGAAAAAATATAAGAGAAGGGTGAGATGGACTAAAGGTAAGGAAAAGGGAATGAGAATAGGGAAAATACTCAGGGAACGATCGACGTTTTGACACGAAGCTAAATATATATTATACAGGACGAAGAGTCAAGGATCTTCAAAATTTTATTATTAACTCTCCTTACGAATTTTCCATAGTTTAAAAACGAGAATCATAGTAAATGTGAAAACAAAGCAAGGCGCGAGGAAATCACACGATTCGCTGATCTAATCCACGCGACTCTAGTATTCTTCTTCTTCTTCTTCTTCTCCTCTTCCTTCTCTTTCTTCTTCTCCTCCTCCTCCTCCTCCTCTACCACCCGGCTGGCTCCGTTCGCGGTAAACAACTCTCTGACTATATCCAATTACATGAACTACAAAATATTCCGCGCGCAACGATACGACACCAAGATACATAGATCATTCGCTTGCTCGAATTTCGACGAAAGCGATTATGAACGCGCGTGCCTCTATTAAGATTCGTGATTAACAAAAATTCGTAGATATTTGTAAGATTTCGAACATTTTCATTTTTTTTTTCTTTTTGTTCAAAACTTTATGGAAGTTTTAATAACTTTGTCAAAGAAAGAGAGAGAGAAAGAGAGAGATAATATAATTGCTAGCATGTTTCTTTCAAAGAACATCCTATTTAACGGTATATTGGATTTACGATCTTCAATGTGAGGGGTGAATTGGAGAATACGGAGGAAGATCGAGGAATCGAAAAAGAGAGAGAGAGAGAGATAGAGAGAGAGAGAGAGAAAGATGCGATACGCGTATCATCGGAAAAGAAGAAGGCAAAGAGCGCCATGGTACAAAAATAAAATTCGGCAGAGCGAACGAGCGAACGAGCAAGCGAGCAAACGAGCGAGCGAATGCGCGTGAGCGTGAGCGAGAAGCCAAGGTTACGACGAGAACAGCTCGTGAAAGTCAAATTCGTTGGGACGCTTCAACGCTAAAACTTCGAAAGAGATGTTCTTCTCTTGGGGAAAAAAAAAAAAAAAAAGAAATATATATATATATATATATATATATATATATATATATATATACATCATACTACTTATGTTCTTGCTTCGCTTAAAAAAAAAGGGGGGAGGGGGAAAAGAGTAAAGAAAAGAAAAAAAAAATCGTTGGAAAAAATAGATCTTTCTTTTCTCTTGTAACGAATTAATATTCTTCCTTTAATCTTAGAAAAATTTTCTGACAAATCTCCTAGACTCATTTTATATCGTATCATGATCTATTAGAGTTCATATTCGAGAGATTCGTTTTTCGTCGTCGACGTAGAGAGATGTCGAGGACTGGCTCTCTCCATTCCGTTGCCGCTGCCGCTGTTACTGTTATTTTTAACTCGACGCCGACGCGGCGAGTCCGTAGTCTAAAACCGTCTACCCTCCTTCCTCCCTGTAGGCTGCTTCGAGTCGCGCCATGAGCTCCTCTCCTCTCTATCCCCTCAGCCCCTTCCCACCTCCTCCCACCCTCTCTCTTTCTCTTTCTATCTATCTTTCTCTCTTTTTATCTCTTTCTCTCTCTTCTCCTATATTCCTTGCCTTTACTACTTCTTCTTCTTCTTCTTCTTCTTCCTCCTATTCTATTCTTTCCCTTTCCTCCTTTCCTCAAGCTCCTCTCTTCCTCCCTATTTTAGAGGCCGCACGCACTATTCGAAAGGGATCAAGCGTCTGGCACGTATATTTCGAAACCTATTTTCAAAGTGGCGGGCCTTTCTATTTTGAAAGTCTTACAAGTCCGCGAGAGGGCGCCACGCTCGCGTAACTTTCCACGAAAGGAAAATGGAGGATGTGTGTATCTGTGTGCATGTGTGTGCGCATATGTATGTGTGTACGTGTGTTACGTCAATTCGAACGTCCGATATTCGGATAATATTAGACAGGAAAGTTGAAAATTCGAAATCGTGAGATAGAGAGAGAGAGAGAGAGAGAAAAAGAGAGATAAAACAAGTGAGTAAGAAAGACAGTAAGAAAGAGAGAAAGAAAGAGATAAAATAAGAGAGTGAGAAAGAGAGAAAGAGAGAGAGCGAGAGAGAGAGCCAGTCGAGGAGAAAAGTACATCGGTAAGTCCGGCTCTCGTTCACGCTCCGCGAAGTGGGAGAAAATTCGTTTCGAAACTTCGGTTTCCCGCCAGATACGAAGTGGCAACGTCGGGCCGCTTGCGTGGCTCTTTCGACGAGCGAAGAACGATACGGCCGACTGCGAAGGAACGACGGAGAAAGAGCGAGAAACCTCGAAACGTGGCAACGCAGCATCAACACGTCGTAGGACTCGGT